GCCACTGCCCCCTCCCCTTCTCTTGGAAGGAACCCTCCTTTCCCCTTTTTTTAAAAAAAGGCCCTTTAAATGGTCCCTTCCACTTCACATTCTCGGTCGCCCCGCGTCCACTGCGGTTAGCCTTCATCCCTCTTTACCTTACCCCCCACCCCCATCCCCGGCCATTGCAAGGGTGACCTTTTGCCTTTTTGATCCCGGGGTCTCTCCCTTGGAAGGAGCATCCCGCCTTCTGAGGTCTCCCTGCTGCCTTCCCCAAATGACGCTCCTCTTTGCTTATTGTATCTAGATACAGGTTTGGTGCTCCCTCCCGGGGTTGCCTGTCTTGGCATTTCGATAACTGCTTGGCAGTGAAGTAAAACATCACGAAATCGTAATGCTGCTGGTTCACCCTTCTCCACTTTGCCATGACTTTAACCCAATTTCACCCCCTTTCCTTTAGTCATACTTGCTTATGCATTGTACTCCTTATCATACATGCGTTCTGTTTTTAATATAGCTATGTTAGATATTTATATCCCACTTTCCTCCTCCATGGGAAGCTAGCGTAGCTCACAATATTGTCTTCCTCTCTTCCATTTTGTCCTCGTGACAGCAATACGGAGCAGAGGTCCATCAGTGGCTATTAGCCACAAGGGATAGATAGGAACTCTCGGTCTGGGGCCAGTGATGCTCTGTATTCTTGGTTTTTTGGGGGGGGCAACAGTGGGGGGGGCTTCTGGTGTCCTGGCCCCACTGGTGGACCTCCTGATGGCACCTGGTATTTTCGGCCACTGTGTGACAGAGTGTTGGACAGGACCATTGGTCTGATCCAACATTGGCTTCTCTTATGTTGTTATGTTCTTAAACCTGTGAGGCAGGTTCGGTTGGCAGAGAGTGACTGGTCAACCCTGCAAGCTTCCATTGAGGAGTGGGCATTTGAACCTGGGTCTCCCAGAGCCCTGTCTGGCACTTTCCTCTTTTTCTCTGGCACTTTTCCTTCTCTGGCGTTTGCCTTGTGCTCACCCCTTCTCCACATGTGAACACACAGGAAGCTGCTTCCTACTGAATCAGACCCTTGGTCCATCAAGGTCAGTATTGTCTACTCAGCCTGGCAGCAGCTCTCCAGAGTCTTTGATGGAGGTCTTTCACATCACCTCCTACCTGGTCTTTTTAACTGGAACGCCAGGGATTGAACCTGGGACCTTATGTATGCCAAGCAGGTGCTCTACCACTGAGCCACAGCCCTTCCCAAGACATTATCATGTGGGGAGTACAATACAGCCCGCATGACATTTTCTGGTATCTTTGTTCAGTTGAAAAGTTTCAAAGTTATGAGCCATCACCAGTATTTTAGGAGCCTAGCTATCTAGGCAGCTGGGATTTTTCCAGTCCTCAGTATTACAATAGAATTGTATTTTATCTATATATTTCTTCCACATCCCACTGTTTTTTATAACCTCAGCACCACAGATATCCCATATCCATGGATTCCTTTGAATGTGTATACATTCCACAGACTGGACACCTTCCCCTCCCCCCTTCTTAGTCCATACACTTACTTGATTGTTCCTTATTTATTCGTTTGGAATTCAGTGCTTTATTCTTCTGAAAGGTAGGATTAAAACATCTTAAAACTAGAAATATTCAAAGCTGTGTTAAGGGGTAATGTTCAAGCTACCAAGGTAAAATCATACATTAGCAACAAATATTTAAAAAGCCGTAGAGCATAGAATGTTCTGTAATCTCCTTTACTGTCTCTTGTAAACGTTATCTCAAACAAGGATTCACATTTAATCTGGGGACTCTTGAGCTCGGTTGTTGCAGGTCTCCATTGAGAGAGCATTTGTGGGGTAAGGGCCAAGAATGGCTTTTGTGATCCACCTGATGAAGAGTTGTGTGTGAATCAGATGGTTGCATAGTCCTGCTGTGGTGGTTGTCATAATATAATATAGAACAAAGCTGGAGTCCAGTGGCACCTTTAAGACCAACCAAGTTTAATTCTGGGTATCAGCTTTCATGTGCATTGATTTGTCTGTGTTTTTAAATCATTTACTTCATTTTATCAATTGTAAAATGTATACTGTTTAGCAGTTTTGTGGAAGCCGCACTGAGCCTGCATTCAAATTCTTTGAATGCACATGAAAGCTTATACACAGAATTAAACTTTGTTGGTCTTAAAGGTGCCACTGGACCCAAACTTTGTTCTGTTGCTTCAGACCAACATGGCTACCCACCTGAATCTATAATGTAATGCAGACCTTTTTAAAGGAAGACAGACCATTGCTAGAAAGGCATGAAACCCCACTGACCCATCTTCCACAATCACTGCAGTAGCAGAGGGGTTGTGTTTTGACAAAGAAACCTGTTTGTTTTTGCTGTCATTAGTAATTCTTGTTTCTGGGTCTTAGAACACAGTCAAATGTTGTGTTCCCCTTTTTTTGATCTGCTTCCCCCAAGGACAAGGGAAGGAAATGTCACTTTCCTTTCAGCTGCACAGGCTTAATGGACTGCCTGTCTTGTGATTTTAGGAGCAGTCTGTATGAAGTTTGTAGCCTTCTTTCACCAGTCATGGCCCTCTCAATCCTAGCCTAATATGTATATCCAATATTGGGATTTGCTGTTGGTAGCCTTTATCTGCGAGTATAGTAAAAACTCTCTTGGAATTGGCGAGCTAAGTCCCAACACCTTTTATTTTTCCTTGGTAATTAGCATAGATCCTAATGCCGTTTTTGCAGCCTTCTAACAGTAGCCACACGTAAGGCTTCTTGCAGTACTTCCAGTATTAGCACACCCAAGTGTGGCCCCCATCTGCAGATATCTAAATCTATGGATTGGGGGCATATCTTATATTCTAGTAGCCACCTGTGGCCCCATCTGCAGATAGCTAAATCTGTGGGTTGGGGCCATGTGGAGGCTAAAGAGATTTTTGTGCACACTTGGGAAACTCCCCAGGTTTGCAGAAAAATCTTAAATTGTTAAATCCCCCCCCCCAAATAAAAAAAAATTAAAATGTCTGCGCATGCGCAGACAACACATTTTTTCTTATGCAGCGGTGATTTTCTTTTGCAGCTGGCTGCGGTGGGCAGTGAACACTGGGAGCTGCTCTGGGCTTGGCCGCAGTGTTGGAGCCCAATGGTGGATGTGGGGAGCTGCTCTGGGCTCAGCTGCAGGATCGGCAGACCCTGGAGCTGCTTCGGGCCCAGCTGTGGTGGCAGCACACAGCAGGAGCTGCTCCGGGCTCGGCCATGGTGTCGGGAGCTGCTTGCGGCCTGGCTACTGGGGCAGCACATTTCGGGAGCCGTTCAATCTCAGACACAGCACAGGCAGACTCCAGGAGCCGCTCTGGGTTTGCAGGAGCTCCCAGGCATCGCTGCTGTGGTTGAGCTTCAAGGTGAGCACCAGCTCATCAATGGGGGAGGGGAGATGGGAGGGCCCCACTAGTTTTGCGGACTCCCCCTGGTTTGCACTAAACAGATTTTTCTGCAACTTTGGATAAATCCCCAAGTTTGCAGAAAGATCTGAAATCTTAAAAAAATACACTGGGGGGGGGTAAATTTCCTTCCTGCCTTCAACGTGGGGGAGCTTGGGAGCTGTGGTGGGCCTGGTGACAGTCACAGCGAAGCAGCCCAGTGGCCATGGCAGGCTGTGGCAGCAGCTGCAGGAGAGGGCAGGGGTTGTGGTGGCGGTCTCAGGAGAAACCAGGAGCCTCACCAGACCCAGTGAGAAAGTGGGGGGAAGATGGGGCTGCCCCATCACCTGTCTTGTAGATGCTTGTTAAATAAGCAGCTTTGATGTGGAGAATTGTTATGGATGGCAACCACCTGTGGTTCAGCTGCTACTGATGTAGCCACAAGCAGTAGTAACGATGGGCTCCTTCCTACTCAGTGTTCTGAGGATGAATGTGAATTCTGTCTTATCAGCTGTTGTCCTGGAACCCTCTGAGGCGGGCGTAAGTGGTGCTAAACTTCAATGGCCTTGATTTGCAATGGCGCTTTCCGTGTGGTGGCATTACAAATGTCGATACGGTTTCAGGATGTGGGAGACTAGTTTAGATTTCAAGGTTCCAGAACCAGGCTTTCGAGATCCAGCATCAAAGTGTACGGGCATTTGCCCTGTGTGGTTGAAGAGGCAGAGATGCCAGCCTTATGTTTCTGGGTATCTGGGCAACCAGGCCCCTGAGGCTGTATGCTTGGAACAGATGGGTCTGGTTGTTAGGGTCATAGCTCATCCTAAGAATGCTGGCTCCCTGGACTGGGCATACCTGTGCGGTCCATTTGCGGTGGTCACCGCTTCACCCAGCCACACTCTCTCGTTCTTTTTCCTTCTTGCTATCGTGGAAATTGCTTTGGATTACTAGGCAACATGTCCAGTTGGGCCTGTGTTCAAAATGCAAGACAGGAGAGCAAGTTTCCCTTCTGCCATGATCTTACCTTGTACCAGGGCTCCCAAGTACTTACCTTAATTCGGCGGGGATATAAAGTTCTTCTCGGGACCATTCCCACGCGGAAAACACAGGTGCTGCACTATTCCGTCGCCCAGACATGACGTAGGCACATAGCCGGGTGACGCTCTAGCAATGGGGCTGGAAACTTGATGGTACCATCGAGTTTCCAGCCCCATTACTAGAGCGTCGCCCAGCTATGTGCCTAAGTCACATCTGGGAGACGGAATAGTGCAGCGCCTGTGTTACAAGCAAGAATCTTCCGGCAGGGAAGCATGTGTCCCCCGCCGGTTTGTAGGTAGGTACTTGGCAACCCTACCTTGTAGGCAGGTGGCTGTTCCCTAACCCCAGCCCTTCTCCTGCAAGATGAGGATTGTAATACCCTGAGAGCTAGTTTGGTGTAGTGGTTCACAGCTGTTCTTGAAAAAGAGCAGTTTCTGTCCGAGTTCTCTCAGCCCCACCTACCTCACAGGGTGTCTGTTGTGGGGAGGGAAAGGGAAAGGAGTTTGTAAGCCGCTCTGAGACTCCTTTGGGTAGTGGAGGGCGGGATATAAATCCAATCCCTTCTTCTTCTCTTTATCAGGTTGTTGATTCTTGAGAAAGTATTGAGAATGCGGTGAGTGCTTAGGCCCAAACAAGGTCACTTCCATAAGAGGTTTTTCTCTGATTATCTCTGGTTTGGCATCCTGTTGTCCACTTTCTTTGTTTGCCCCTGCTTTACTACAATCTTTGCCAAACTTGGCTTGGGGAAAAGTTGCATTCCTAGTGTCATGTATGTTGCACAGACTGGAAGGTGTGCACTTTAGCTGGTGGCGAGGACAGGACTCTGTAAATGAGGCTGCCCTGGCCCTTGAAATAAAATGTGTCCTGTCTATTGACATACTTGTATTAAATAAAACATGGCTATTGGATAAATAATAGCCTGTGACTTGTGCATGTATGCTTTGGTTTTCCTTCTTTTTCTCTTTTCAGCCGATGCCTAGAGAAGTCTGAGTGGTTCTTTCAGAATTCCAGACCTTTCCCCTTTTAAAAAGAAGAAAACCAAGTAGCTTACATAATTAGCAAGAGGAAAACTTAAGTATATGTGGCTGAGGTGAAGGCAGGGCCCTAAGTGGTCAGGGGTAAAACTGCTGCTCTTCACCGGTTGCATCTTCTCTTACTTTCCCTCCCTGGCCTAATCAATTTTGAATAATGCAAACATTAATGTTGTACGTGCGCAGCAATGGCATGAATTGTTCTTGGCTTTCTTAATGGGCTGTTGCCACAGAAATGGGTTTGGTGACGGCTGCTGATTGGTAGCCACCCTGAAAAGTAGTGGTGCCTGTCCCACATCGGTAGAAATATTCCTGTTGCAGATTAAAGGTGAGGCTTCAGCATACCTGTCTGCTGTGTGATAATGGGAGCAGAGAGGACTAGTCCCTAGTGAACAATACAGTTCTTTCTTGTTGGCCTAAGTGGTGTTGATGGGAGTGTGAAGCCAGCTTTCTGAGATACATGAAGAGTTTTATATGCGTCCCATATAACCTTTCCATTGGCTCTCACCTGCCTTACAGCACTCTCCTGAGCACCCTCCCAAATTCACTGAAGTCAGTGAGCTTAGATGGGCGTTGCTCTCCTTAGGCTTGCACTGTAAATCAGAGCCAGTGAGAAGATCAAGGAAGCTGAAATGGTCCGGGAGCAAGCCAGGGCCAAGTGGCTCCGGTGCCACCACAAGCCGGCACTGCAGGGTCCGCCCAGCTCAGATCTGGCAGGCAACGCCCATTTACAGGTGCCATCTCACTCACTGGTGTCTCCTGCAGTGCTGCCATTGGCAGAGGTGCCACGGGTGAGTCAGCACCAGTCAGTGGTGCCACTAGCTGGGTCTGGGCTGAGTGGACCCTGCATCTCCGGCCGAGTTAGTGGGGCTTGGCTTGGCTTCCCCCTGCCTGTTAGTATTTGTTGTTGTTGTTCAGTCGCACAGTCGTGTCCAACTCTTCGCGACCCCATGGACCAGATCACGCCAGGCCTTCCTGTCTTCCGCCGTCCTCTGAAGTTTGCTCAACTTCATGTTTGTTGCATCTATGACACTGTCTAGCCATCTCATCCTTTGCCGTCCCCGTCTTCTTTGACCTTCAATCTTTCCCAGCATCAGGGTCTTCTCCAGGGAGTGCTCCCTTCTCATTGGGTGGCCAAAGTATTTGAGCTTCAGTTTCATTATCTGGCCTTCCAGGGAACAGTCAGGGTTGATTTCTTTTAGGATTGACTGATTTGATCTTCTTGCAGTCCAAGGGACTCTCAAGAGTCTTCTCCAGCACCATAGTTCAAAAGAATCTATTCTTCTTACTTACTTATTTGGATTTACATCCCGCCCTCCCCGCAAGCGGGCTCAGGGCGAATTCCAACAGTATAAAATACAATACATTTAATACCAGTTTAAGAACATAGTATAAAATAACATAACTCCTAAGCACTGTGTGAATTCTAGTGGAGACCATAGTGGTTAAGATGGTATTCAAACTTTAAATATTTTAAGGATCTTTAAGAGGGTTTTAAGATCTTAAGGATCCAGGCTACAGATGGAGGCCAGCCAAAGGAAGGGGACGCCCGAAGCCTCAACCAAAAGCCTGGGGGGAATAGCTCCATCTTGCAGGCCGCGTGGAATTGTAGTAGCCCGTGGTTCCCAAATATTTCAGTTCTGCATCATACTCTTGTGTACAACTTACCTATACTGTGGACCCGCCTACAGAGGCAAACATGTGCCCCCATCTCTCTCCTGTGCATCTTGACGTTGGTATTTTTTTGCTAGTTGATTTACCTCCCGTTTCATTTCAGTATGGCTGCGAAGAGATGGAAAAGAGATGTGAGGAATTTTGGAAGAAGTCTTTTATTCACTGAGATTGGATAAAGAGTAATATTACTGGGGAAAACACTGGTTACTTCTGACTAGTCATGGGTCTTTTTTTACCCCTATTTGCAGGGGTCATTTCGTAGAAAAAGGTGCAGGAGCTCATTAGCATAACTAATTAGCATAACTTATTGGCACATGCCACACCCCCTGACATCACCGGAAGTGTGTCAGAAGGCAACACCCACTGCTCAAACTCCACTGGACTGTTTTGGATTGCTAGCTATTGCTAGCTATTGGGGGGGGGGGAATGTAGCAGATCTGTCCTCGCAGAGGAGGGAGAGCTTGTACCTGAATAAAACTTGGTCTTAAAGGTGCCACTGGACTGTTGGGGGCCGGGAGGGGAGCTCTGCAACTTACCTGGCTGCTTCTTGCTCTCACTGAGGGCTGCTGGGAGCAGGGGGTGGGGCTTGTTGCATGTGCTCGCCCCCTGGGCTCTTTACTGCCGGAGCTCCGCTCCTGTGCGCTCCTGCAGGAAATGACCTTTGCCTATTTGTAATACAATGTGATACATTAGTTAGAGTGTCGGACAAGGATCTGGGAGCCCCAGGTTCGAATACCCACCCTGCCATGGAAGGTTAGTTGAGTGAACGCGGGTCAGTCATGTACTAACCTACCTCACAGGGTTGTCATGAGGTTAACATGGAGGAGGGGAGAACAGTGTAAGCCGCTGTGGGCCCCCGTTGGGGAGAAAGGCAGGGTATATATGAAATAAATACAGTGGGGAGTTGATGAGGGGATGTGAGCTTTTCTTGTGGCCCCACCCACATGACATGATGCATCAGATTCCGGGTGGCTGGGGCTGCTACTAATGCATGGCTTTGGTTGCTGCTCTTGATGAGTTCCTTTCATTTGAACACACAGCAAGTACCTGTGTAGTTAGGTGTCCAAAAACGTAACTTTTTTGTTTTTTGGGGTAACTCATTCTAGTCTGGGAATGCCTACTCTGAACATAAGAACACAAGAGAAGCCAATGTTGGATCAGGCCAGTGGCCCATCCAGTCCAACACTCTGTCACACAGTGGCCAAAAACACCAGGTGCCATCAGGAGGTCCACCAGTGGGGACAGGACACTAGGAGCCCTCCCACTGTTGCCCCCCCCCCCAGCCCTCTGTTCTAACTTGCTAGAAAAAGAAGTTAATAAAAGAACGTTGTTAGTGAGACCATTGAGGCAGCATAGCACTGGGTTGTCTGCTTTGACTTGCAGCAGCCATCTAAGGTCTTGGGCAAAGATCTTTCTCAGCCTGAGAATCCCTTGAACTGCGTTTGATTGAACTGGGACCTTGGGCACATCAACTGTGTGTTCCAGAACCTTGTGCCCTTTGTGCCAAATAGATAATTATCAGAAGTTGGTTGTTTGAACTAATTCATTGTACAGATGAACAGCTGAGAGATGTGTGGAATACAGCAACAGCAATTAAATTAAATCATTGTATAAAATTATGGGGGAAAGTTTCACATAAGTCTGTTTGTCAAAATTGGTTTCCTTTCATACTGTATGGAAGTAGAAGATAAACACGTTTTAAATAAAGAAAACACTTTTTAAAGGAGTGTTTAAAACCAAGCTTGATGTTGCTTGTCTGATTTTAGACATCTAGCCTGCTTCTTAGCCAAATCTGCTGTCTGGGAGTAGAGGGGGCAGGGCACATTTGTGAGGGGACATTGCCCCCTGGGCCCCCCCAGTAGCTATAGGCCTGATAGCAAGGAAACATTTATACAGGTCTTCAAGTAATGGTCAAAAGAAGATATCTGACAATTGCTTAAATTGTTATTTATGTTGTAATCTGCTCAGAGCCCCGCAGTCGTGGGGGAGACTGAACAAACAAACAAATAAAATTACTGTAACTAAACAGGTTAAAATGAGTTGTTGCAGAAATTGCAGTATAATGGAGTGAATGTGGAAAGTAAAATAATTTGATTTTTACAGTCAAATGAAATCAGTAACAAACAACTTTTTGGCTAGTAAGCACATGCTGACACTGAAACAGAGTCTGAAGTGGTGCAGGTTTTTTGTTTTTGCTTTTCTGTTTAGGCTAATCTTCCTTTTCTCTATCCGGCCCCAATGCAGGCTGCTATATGGCAAGCACTTAACCACTACGCTTATCGGGATGCAGTGTTCCTGGCAGAGAGGTTGTATGCAGAAGGTATGCATACCCAATGGTGCTAGGTTTGTGCTTTCTGTGGGTTTTTCTAGGTGGTATTTTAGCTTTGTTCATTAAGTCACAACGTGGAGATTGGCAGTAAAGTACATTCAGCCGAGTGGACTGATTTAAAAAAGCAGTCTAAATCACTCCCCCAAAGCCCAATTTCAATCCGTGATTTAAATTTTTTTAAATCCAGTTTTATTTAAATATTTCATAAATAGTTGTGCACATAAAGATGGGAATATCACAAAAGCATCCAAGCCAGGAGACCTAAAGACAATAGGACTCCCCAGCCATGCAGAAAATTATTACTTCATAAATTGACGGGGACTTTGGAAGAGCTTGATGAAGGCTGAATATGCCCAAGGAGGCACAGAACACTGAGAGCAGCTGAGTGGCTAGCACAGGAGCCGGGGGACGGGGGTGGCCTGCTTAAATCCCAGAGAGTGTATAGAATCTTGGAGAGGGAGGTCTTGGGTGCAAGGGAGTTTTTGAAATAGTCCCCTACCAATGCTCCCTCTAAGCTGTGGAGTCTTGTGAGGAAAAATTCTACTTTGTGAGCTACTGGCATTCAAGTTGTGAGCGAGCGATTTGGCTGCTGCATAAATTAGTTTGCTCTGGAGCCATCCTTCCTGAGCTAAGGCTAAAATTTGTGAGCCGGAGGCTAAAAAACTGTGAGCTAGCTCACACTAACTCAGCTTAGAGGGAACACTGTCCCCTACCCTTCCCTGCAATGTCTTGTGAGGCCCCATCTTATATTGATTACAAACTGAACAGACCCTTTATACATCCTCAGGCTACTTTTCATGATTAAAGGAAAGGATACGAAATAATATTAAAAGGGGCCATGGCCACATACGGTAGAATGCTAAACAGACATGGGTTAAAGGCAAGGTTGATAGTTTAACTACTTCAATCCCCAAGCATCAAATGATGGCAGGATGCTAATGTTTTCTTCCTCGGTTTCTTCAGTGCATTCAGAGGATGCCCTGTTCTTATTGGCAACGTGCTACTACCGCTCAGGAAAGGCTTACAAGGCATACAGGCTTCTTAAAGGACACAGTTGTACCACCCCGCAGTGTAAATATTTGCTTGCCAAGTGCTGTGTTGACCTCAGCAAGTAAGTTGCACTTTGAGTCTGTTAGTACTGTTGGAAGCTGTAGTAAAAAAAAAATTTTTTTTAATGATTCCGTTCACTGATTCTTTAGGTCTAAGGCTTGTCACATAATAGAAATTTATTTCTGTTCTCCAGTGTGGGCATAATAAGTGATGGCAATTTGTCTAGAAATAACCAAGGATATACTAACTGAAAGTAACCAACCCCCAGCATCACAGCTGGATTGGGGTGGTGGGAGTGGATTTGGGACGATCTCAAGCTGGGGTGTCAAACATACGGCCCGTGGGCTGATACTGGCCCAAAAAGCACCCCCTGGAGGTTTTGGAAACAGGCTCTCTGTTAGGCCTTCCTCTCAGCCCTGCCACATCTGTAGGAAATGCAGGAGGGACGAGAACTGGGGGTGGGCAGGATCTGGGAGAGTTCCCCAGTAAATCAGTTGTTTTCACTGCTAGGAACCAGTTGCTTAATTGGGTTTCCCTGTGTCCTTTTAAAGTTTATGTCTCAGGTACCTGGCCTGACATTTTACGGCACATGTGGCCTGGCCTGACAAACTGGCATTTATGTCAGATCCAGCCCTTGTAACAAATGAGCCTGACACCTCTGAAAGTCCTCTGACCTGCTCACAGGAGTTCAGCGGAAGTGATTATTGTTGTTGCAGTTCAAGAATGGGGGCACCGCAGCTGAGGGGTGGGCACTCCATTTGTTGAAGAGCTGGGATTTAGCTGCAGTACCAGTGCCGGCATCCATTTTGCTCCTCTCTCTCTTTTTTAAACGAGTCCTCATAATTCTCACTATCATTTAAATAGACTTGCAGAAGGAGAGCAGATCTTATCTGGTGGCGTGTTCAACAAACAGAAAAGCCACGAGGACATTGTGACAGAGTTCGGTGACTCTGCATGCTTCACACTTTCGCTCCTGGGACATGTGTACTGGTACGTCTGGATTTTTTCTTCCTTTTAGGAATAACCTCTCCCTTCAGAGCCAGTTTGGTGTAGTGGTTAAGTGCACGGACTCTAATCTGGGAGAACCGGGTTTGATTCCCCACTCCTCCACTTGCACCTGCTGGATGACCTCGGGCAAGCCATAGTTCTGGCACAGCTGTTCTTGAAAAAGAGCAGTTTCCCTCAGAGCTCTCTCAGCCCCACCTACCTCCCAGGGTGTCTGTTGTGGGGGAGGGGAAGGGAAAGGCGTTTGTAAGCCGCTCTGAGACTCCTTTGGGTAGTGAAGGGCGGGGTATAAATCCATTCTCCTCCTCCTCCTCCTCCTCCTCCTCTTCTTCTACTTCCTCTTCTTCTTCCTCTTCTTCCTCTTCTTCTTTCTCTTCCTCTTCCTCCTCTTCTCCTCTTCCTCTTCTTCCTCTTCCTCCTCCTCCCCACCATTCCACTCCTGCTCTTTGCAGACCTGAGGTTCTTTATGCATCTGTCTGCAGGTGTGGCCTTTGCCACCAGCGAAGCACAGCATAAGAAATACTTATAACTAAGCACCTTCAGCTGCCATGTGAAACAACAGGCCGAGAGGCTTGCTCATGAGTCGATCCTTCGGTAATGGACAGCCCCAGTCAGTTAAATAGACTAGTAATCTAACTCTGTATAAGACAATTTTCATATGCAGTTACAAAATATATCACAGTTTAGAATGTTGCTGCCTCCAGAATAAAAATTCCAAGGACTGTAATGCCCCATGGAGCAGAGAATTACCCAACTTTTAGGAATCCTCTGTTCTTTCCATAGGCAAAAGTCATCCTGTAGGTCAGGCCTGAGCAGGGGGAGTGGTGGAAATGATGGTGTTTTCACCACGGCCTGTAGAAGGAGTCTGGTCTGGTTTGGGCAGCAGGCCAATTACCCTGATGTAGTCTGCATCCACACAGCAGTGATTCCCCGTGTAGTTCTTGCCTCTGCAAATGTACAAGCATTCCCAGTGGCAACAGACCATCCACATGTCAGTTTCTCCTCATACTTTCCTTGCTTCAGCCTGCTGTGGCTGTTATTTCTCACCACCACCAGAGAGGTGGGTGGGGGGCTTTCTTTAAAAAAAAAAAAGGGCAATTGCTCAATCACCAGCATAACATTACAATTGTATATTGAATGTACAGCTTTTTTTCCCTAAAAATTAAGTCTTTGGCTCTTTACATCAAAGAAGTATAAGGGCTGAACTTTTCCCTTTATAAAAAGGAGCTGCGGTGGCTCAAGTGGTTAAGACGGTCAGTAGTTCAGCAGTTCAAGACCCGGGTGTGCCGCATGATGGAGTGAGCTCCCGTCTCTAGTTCCAGCTCCTGCCAACCTAGCAGTTTGAAAGCAGGAAATTGCAAGTAGATAAATAGGTACCACTTCGGTGGGAAGGTAACAGCGTTCCGTGCGCCTTGCTGGCCACATGACCACGGAAATGTCTTTGGACAGCCCTGGCTCTTCGGCTTGGAAACGGAGATGAGCACCGCAACCCTAGAGTCGGATTCCACTGGCTTTCGAGCAAGGGAACCTTTACATTTACCTTTTAAGGAAAAGGGCTTGGGACTGGGGGAAATTAAAAATGTATAGTGGGTCTGTAGAAATGATGCTTGGATGTGCTTACACAAAGACCAAAAGGTATCATACCACTGTATTGTTATATAGGAAGCTTGACCCTCATTTCACAGTTTTTGGTCCCAAAGAGCCACATGCATTGGCTGGTCTTATTAGCCATTAATACAGTTATATATCCACACTAAATGAGTAAATACCACCTGTCAAGATCTCAAGCATAATGCTTACAGATCTAAATTCATCTAGGCAGAACTGCTGTGTTCAAAATAAGTTGTAAAAATCCAGGTACCCATCAGGAAAGGTCAAATAATAAATATCGACCAAGCCATCTAGCTTTTTAGTTTTCACGTTAGTTTTCTTCAGCATTTGGTTGAAAACTCACAGGTCCTCAGTGCCTCATACGTGGTCTGTATTTTTAAGGAATCAAAATTAATTACTTCCCCTGTGGCAGCAGTAGTTTTGATATACAGCTTAAATTGCCAGAATCCTCAGACAAAATATGAAGTGTTTTCTGAACAGAATAAAGACCAAATCTAAGATTTCATTATTCTAATGGCATGTTGTCTATAAAGTGCTACAGTTTGGTTAGCCAGTTTGGTGTAGTGGTTAAGTACGCAGACTCTAATCTGGGAGAACTGGGTTTGATTCCCCTACTCCTCCACTTGCACCTGGCTGGATGACCTTGGGCAAGCCATAATTCTGGCACAGCTGTTCTTGAAAAAAGAGCAGTTTCTGTCAGAGCTCTGGCACAGCTGTTCTTGAAAAAAGAGCAGTTTCTGTCAGAGCTCTCTCAGCCCCACCTACCTCACAGGGTGTCTGTTGTGGGGAGGGGAAGGGAAAGGCGTTTGTAAGCCACTCTGAGACTCCAAGTGAAGGGCAGGGTATAAATCCAATCTCTTCTCTTCTCCTACATCTTTGAATCTGGGGAGGGATAGGAACTCATCTGCTGATAATCTGCTGAACTTCAAGAGCAGTTGGAAGTAGCGAGAAAGCTTCTGCTATGTCTAGAGAAAAATGACCTGGCCCTAGGCTTTAGAGATGCTCTCCCTGGCCCTCCAGCGCCTCTGAGAAGAGCTTCCGTGCCTCTCTCAGTGGAAACCCTGCTCCCCCCCCCCCCCCCCCCATACGCTTTTCACTGCTGATATTTTGGGAATTATTTGCTCAAGCCATGGGAAATAGTTACATGGGGGAGGGAAGCCATGGGAAATAGTTTTTGTTTTTCTGGTCCCCCCCCCCCGGCTGAACACTCACCTCAACTTGATTTAGCAGGTAAAACTATAATGTGCTTTTCTTTCTTCTTCTTTTTTTTACAGCAAGACAGATCGGCTTGCCAAAGGATCTGAATGTTACCAAAAGAGCCTTAGTTTAAATCCTTTCCTCTGGTCCCCCTTTGAATCACTATGTGAAATAGGTAGGTTTTGCTCAGCTTCTTTCATGGGAACAGATGAGTTCTTGCTCCTGAATGTTACCCTCAGGAATGCAGGAATGCCCCCTTTTTCATCTGTTTCATTTGCTTGTATGACTGTTAAATTTACCTGGCTTCTTTCAGATTTCGGTTCTGATGTTACTTTTCGATTGGCGAGGTTTTTTGCAAGTGTGTTTTAATATAGGGTTGTTAGAATAAGGCTGACAAGCCGTTGGGGGGCCTTTCCAGGAGGCTCCAGGAGAGGGGAGGGAAGAAAACATGATTGAACTCCGAAGTGAGTTCTGGGAGAGCTGGCCATCGCATTTAAAGGGACTGCGTTCATTTTCAATGCCTTCTCTCCATTGTAAATAATGGAGGATGGGGCACCTTCTTTTGGGGCTCATAGAACTGGACCCCCCTGGTCCAATCTTTTTGAAACTTGGAGGTTTTTTTGAGGAGAGGTACCAGCAGCTATGCTGAACACGCCCCCCCCCCCCCCGAGCCCCAGATACCCATGGATCAATTCTCCATTATACCCTATGGGGACCAGTCACCATAGGGTATAAGGGAGCGCTTTCCCTGCTTTCTAATAGCCCTGAAGTGGGGCGGAGGGGCTTCAAACCAGGGGATCCCCCACTCCCAACTGGAGAGTGGCAGATTAGAAGACTCCTGGAGGATCAAACATCCAAAAGAAAGAGATTTCAAATTTTTTTTTGATAGACATCAAATGTGCTCAAGAATAGACATGTGTTGGATATCAAAGAGTCTAACAATGAATCTGGATAAAGCAGAGATTCAACTGAAAATATTCGCAGATCTTAACCCTATAGAGGTAGTTTGGCAATGGAACAGGAAACCAAGAGGAAGATGAAGGCTAAACAATGCTCTTTTATTACAAGATGATGAAATAAACAAGTTCAAGAAAGATCTGGAAGAATTTTTAAAAATAAGGCAGAAGGAATGTCCTCAGCTACATTTTGGGAAGCAGGTAAAGCTTCCATTAGAGGAATCTTATTGGCAGCTGCTGCTAAGAAGAAAAGAGACACAGAACAACCCAAGACATTAGTAGGAAAAATCCAGAGATTGGAGCAAGAGCACAAAAAAATCCCAACAAAGATATATTAGTAGAAATCAGACAACTAAAAATCAATTAAATATGTTAGAAATGGAAGAGGTACAGATTTTTTTTTTTTAAAGGCACTTTGAACACGCGAACAAACCTGGCAGATATATTTTGTGTGATGTTTTAGGAAGGAGAAAGAAAAAAGAGTAATAACATATATAAAGAAAGGAGATCAAATTACCTATTCAGAAAAAGAAGTACAAGAACAACTTATCAATGCTCTCTCAAAGAGTAATAACATATATAAAGAAAGGAGATCAAATTACCTATTCAGAAAAAGAAATACAAGAACAACTTATCAATGCTCTCTCAGGAATATACAAAAAGAAATCTGTTTCAGAAAATGGAATAAGAGAATGTTTAAAAGATATCCCAATTTCAAAGTTTATGCCAAACATAGAAAAATCTTAAACCAAACAATAGCAATTCAAAAAAATTTCCCAGGCAATAAAAAATATGAAAAAGGACAAAGCACCTGGCCCAGATGGGTTGACAGCAATGTACTGCAAATATTTTGAAGAAGTTTTAATGATACCATTACAAAAAGTTATGAATGAGATAAAAGAAGGAAAGACAATTCCTCCAACGTGGCAAGAGGCATATATAACGTTAATATATAAAGAAGGCAGTTATGTAACTTCTTCAGTATGTTCCATTACACACTGTAACAATTTTTGTGGATCCACAATACTCCAAGATGAGAAAAAGAGAGGAGGGTTAGCAGTTCCAAATATAAAATTATGATATCAAGCAGCAGGTTTGGTCTGGATTGTGGATTGGATTAAAAATCCAGGACAAAGAATAGTAAAACTTGAATCAGCTGACCTAGATGAATGTGTACATAATTATTTATGGATACAGAAATCGAAAGGATCATAATACATGAAAGGAGTCATATAATTAGTGATGGACTTTTGAGAATACGGTTTAAATGTCAGAATTTATTGAGTCATCCAAATTCCCTGCTCACACCCCTAATATAAGCTTCCCACAATAAGAATACAAGAAATAAAAGTGGTTTCTTAATGTACGGCAATATGGTAAATGCTCAGGGAAAACTCATGTCCTGGCAAGATGTTAGGGATGAAGGAATCAACATTCAATGGAAAAGAGTAAGAATCCAGTAGCACCTTAAAGACTAACAAAATTTATGGTAGGGTATGAGCTTTCGTGAGTCACTGCTACACGGCTACCCATCTTCAACATTCCATGGTTACTATATTACCAATCAGTTTCAAGATTAAAGAAGATTCTCAACATGGAAGGTGATGCTCTAAAACAGATGACTGAGTTCGAACAGCTGATTACAAAACAAAAAGATCATTTACTACGATGGATATATGTTATTCAGTTAGAAACGGAAGAAGAACAAGTGAAAAAAATGTATGATTAAATGCATGTAGAACTTTAGAGAGCAAATACCTGTGCACCAGTGGGAATGGCTATGGGAAAAAGAAATTAAGTTCATAGCCAGCTGGGCATTAAGAGAACATAGGTATAATATGTTTTTCAGATGGTATAGTACTCCAAAAGATATTGAGAAAGTAGACAAAAACTACAAGGAAAAATGTTGGAAATGTCAAGATACAGATGGAACTTTTTACCATATGTGGTGGACTTGTAAAAAAGCAAAAGATATTGGAAGAAAATACTTGGAAAAATGCAGAATATATTAAAATTTAAATTCCCTATGGAAGCTAAGAATATGCTATTAGGAATATTGCCTAATTACCAAAAATTTTGGAAGGGATATTTAAATATATGGTGACCAGCTAGAATCATCTATGCAGCAAAATGGAAATCAGATGTCTGTTCAGGCTTAGAAGAATGGGGGGGAAAACTTGTCGATTATGCGGAAATGGCAAAATTAACAACTTATTTGAGAAACAGATCAATTCAAAATTTGAGGAGAGATGGAATGTCTATTACGTAAGCAAGAGACAAATTTAGAATGAGAAACTGTTTACAAATTGTATATAAAGGTATTGCAATACATATAAATGCATTACAATGTAGAAGCAGAATGAGAATGAGTTTTGAATATAAATGTATAAGGAAGGGGATTTTGAACAAAAATATCTTTTATTTTTATTGTGATAGTAGACTTTCCTTTAAATTTTGGTAAATTAAAAGCTATAGCTAGTATGTAGAAATGATAAAATATGTAATGATGAAATTAACAATATAGTTACAAAATAGATTAGTTATGAAATCTGAAATTCAAAATATTTGAAGTAAGGACTATTGAATTCTATAGAAAATGTATTAAAAATTATAACGAAGGGGATGTTTGGGGAGAAATATTTTCTGTTCTGCATACCTGACAATGTATAATGAGCTTTGATATATATAATTTGTCATACAATCCTTGTTTTCCTTCTGTATCCCTTATCTTGTTTTCTAAAATAAAATATATATTTTTAAAAAATATAAGTTTGGTTTCTCTGTTTCAACCCACATGGCTTTTTAACAGAAGGAACGAAAGGAAAAGGTTCAGAAGAAGAGCAGAAGCTCGAAGGGAATTGAATTCAGGCCTTCATTTGAGTCCAACTACAGCAGTAGCATTGGAGCTGGAAAATACTTTTTTTGCAAGTGTGTCTGAAGCTTTTTCCATTAGGGTTGTCATTATATCTGACATATGTGAGGGATGAAAGATCTTGCTTCTGGGTGCTTTCTTTCTTCTGTCCCTGAAACTGGCTTGCTTGTTTTTGATTAAACGCCTCATGTCCAAGCCATATCTTTCAGGTTTCTCTTGTTTTAGTTTTGAAGCTAATTTGCTTTTGTGTCTATGTGGGTGCACATTTCAAATTGCTGAGCGAAAGCAGGTAGCTGTGTAGCACCATTAGTGGTTTGCAGAGAAGCCATGAAACATGTTTGGTTTTTCCTAACCCGCTTTCCTTGTCGTTGCCAAAAGCCCTGGAATTTGCTTGCCAGATTCCTTGTAGCTTGCTTGCAACAATAGACTTGCTTTCTCAGCCTCCCCCCTGAAAGTTCCTGGTTTATGCATGTAAGCAGGTATGTTTCAAAATATTTCTGTCATGAATTGTCAAACAGTAAGAATATTACTGGTGTGCAAAACAAAAGTCCAGCGGCACCTTAAAGACTAAAGTTTGCTTCAATATAACAACAATTGCTTCAATATTAAAGTAAATGTTGCTAGTCTTTAAGGTGCCACTGGACTTTGTCATCACAACAAAAACATGACCTCTAACCTAACTTCTCTCCGATTTGTCATAATTACATTACTGCTTTAAGAAGCTCAATTTAACTGAATATTGGAACCAGTATTGAAAGCAGCTGTCTAAGAAATGAATTCTTCCACCACCACTGAATGGTATAAAGTTAACATGTCAACGACAACTTAACATATAACAAGAACCTCATACACATGTATTGTAAGTCAAACAACAACACATATTCTGGTGTAAAATGATAAATAAGCTTTTACTGCCAATGCATATTGCTGTAATAAAATCAGTGCTGAAAATATTAGGCAGCATAAAAGCACTAGAGATGTGAAGTCCGGGGGGGGGGGGGGGCAAGAAAAAATAATTCAAGGGGAAAACACATTTCCCCCCTCAAGTCTTTTTTCCAATTTTCCCAGCAGAAAAATTGGAAAGTACTGGGGGGAAAATTCCCCATGAAATATTTTCTCTTTTAGAATGAGTGAAATGCTTTTCAAGACAAGGTGGACATACTGTAGACATATTTAACCCTTAAGTCCAAGATGAATTTCTGCACCTAAAAGAATACCAAATTTTCATGAGGGGAGTGTGCAGGGCTTTCATTGCTTCTCAACTGTTGCATGCCTTCTGTTGTCCTTTTGACCTGACTTGATCTTTTCACCTCTCCCTCAAACCGTTGTGATTCATTTACCCTACAGACTGGGTAAAAAGTAGCTTATTGCCCTACTTTGTAGGAGGCAGGAAAAAAGATCAGAAGGAGGTGGGGCACGAACTCCACTAAAACTTCAGAAGAAAACCGAAAGTTTCTTGGAGAACTTCGCTCTCTCAAACCGAATAGCAAAAATTAAGATGCAAGTTTTACAACAGCATAGGGTGCATCAGCTTGCAGTTTTCTGTCAAGCACTGGGTGTATTTGCAATTTTGCTAGTACAAAACCGAGGCATTTATAAGTTTTAAATTCCATAAACATGTCAGATATTGCACTTGTATATGGTAAGTTATAAATTATGCATTTTATTATGTTAAAGCAATAAAATTAGTTTAGGCTTGATAGGATAGTAAGTATTGCATGTATTTCAATTCTTCCCAAAATTTCTGGTCTCCCCACCACCACTACCAAGGGGTGGGGGCAGTTTTTTCTGTGGCTTCAAAATTTCTGGAAATTGTACATCTCTACCTGGCCCTGCAAAATATAAAGAAATACTTACCTGCCTATGAAATCTATCTGTGCTGCAAAAGAAAATATTGTCTATTTCTCATTTCTAATTTTGTTTAATGCTATTCACAATGACCACCTAGTTTATAGTATATTGTATTTAGTTATAGTTCAGATTTAATGTTTATATGTCCTATATATAAGGAAAATTAAAAAAAAATACCTAAAACAAAAAATTTCTACCTGGCCCTGCCATAATTATTTAACTTAATATGCACTTTCCCCATGATTATTTTAAACTTTTGCCTCATTACTGCATCATGGGACAGAAAGGCCAGACAGCAGTTCCATATTCTGGGGTTCAGTGTAGAGTGTATAAAACATTTTGCTTCTGCTCTATCAAGAACAAGTCTTCTCTTCTCCCCAACCCCAAATCTCCATCTCTTCGATCACTCAGGTGAGAAGCCAGACCCTGATCAAACGTTCAAGTTAACATCAATGCAGAACTTCAGTACCTGCTTGCCTAACACATGCACAACAGTGGTGTCTAATCACAGCATACCCCACAGACAGCCGGAGACGGTTCTTATGGAAACGCCACAAGACACACTTGTAAGTTGGTTTGTTTTGTAATGGAACTTACTTAAGCACTGCCACTCACAGAGTGATTGTTCATTGGAAAGGAGTTGTGTGCTGCCTTTAAAAAATGGTTTTCCATTTCAGGAATTAAACAGACTCAACCTGGAGTCCTCCAACTCTAAATATTCCTCCAACACAGATTCCTCCATGTCTTATATTGACTCAGCTGTAATTTCACCAGATGCTGTACCTCTTGGATCAGGGACTGCCTTCTTAGCTAAGCAAGCTCAAAACAAACCAAAAACTGGCCGGAGTCTTCTGGGTGGACCAGCTGCTCTGAGTCCGTTAACGCCAAGGTAAGAAATTGGAAGCCAGGCGTCTCCCCCCCACCCCCGGTCTGTCCTTGAACACTGGTAAACGAAGAACAGAACATCCTGTAGTATCTTAAAGTTTAACACTTTTATCGTGGCATAAATGTTCATGGACTCCAGGTGCATGAAGCTTTATCCTGACTTAGCAGATCAATGATAGGTATAGAGGGGGGAAAACAGAACGTGGTGGAGCCAAATACTCTGAAATGGAAGAGGTCCAGTATGTCTGTCATGCCGTACTGTTGGTAGTGGTGGGAAGGGTCATCATTGTTCAGTAAGTGGAGTTTCCAGGGGTCATTCCATAGAAAAAGAGGAGCAGGAGCTCATTAGCATAACTTATTAGCATAACTCATTTGCATATGCCACACCCCCTGACATCATCGGAAGTGTGTCAGAAGGCAACACCCCCCGCTCAGGCTCCACTGGACTGTTTTCGATTGCTAGCTATTGGGGGGGGGGGACGTGCAGGTCTGTCCTCACAGAGGAGGGAGAGCTTGTACCTGAATAAAACTTGGTCTTAAAGGTGCCACTGGACTGATTTGGGTTGCTAGCTAGGGGGGGGGGGGAACACGCAGATCTGCCCTCACAAAGGAGGGAGAGCTTGTACCTGAAGGCAGGCCGAGGGGGGGCTCTGCAACTTACCTGGCTGCTTCTTGCTCCTCATGGCCCGACTGAGGGCTGCTGGGAGCAGGGGGTGGGGCTTGTTGCATGTGCCCGCCCCCTGAGCTCCTTACTGCTGGAGCTCTGCTCCTGTGCACTCCTGCAGGAAATGACCCCTGTGAGTTTCCCTATTGAAATGCGGCTAGAATATATTAGCAAATTTGGCTCTATTCATTAGGTTTCAATTGGGACCACAGGTTTCTCTCTCACTTCATACGTTTGTTTAGCACAGTAAAGGTAGGAAGTTTCTGTTACCACCGATTATTACCGATTATTATTGTGGGGAACTGCAGTAGGGAACTGCAGTGGGGAACTGCGCTCCTTTAAGCAGAGTGGGGTGCTGTAGTTGACCAGTGATGTGGGGAACTGCAGTCGTGAGGTCCTGGAGGAAAAGTTTAGGCTGCTAGGCAGGAAACTCAGGGCCAGGACCTTCAAGGTAGCCTTTTCAGAAGTGCTACCTGTTCCATGCTCAGGGCTGGAGAGTCAGGCACAGATCAGGAGTCTCAGTGCGTGAATGAGACGATGGTGTAGGGAGGAAGGGTTCAAGTTTGTTAGGCACTGGGATGTTTTTTGGAACTAGAGGGAGCTGTAGAAAAGAGATGGTCTCCACTTGTCCCGAGGAGGAACCAGGCTGCTGGCGCTTAAAATCAAAAAGGTGGCAGAGCAGTTTTTAAACTGAATACTGGGGGAAAGCCAACAGGAGACAAAAAGTCTCTGGTTCGGGATGGCTCATTTCAAAGAGATGAAGGGGTAGCTGTTACTTTTCTACAAGGAAATGGATTAGAATTGTCCACTGTGGCTAACAATATGGACTGCCTGGCAAGGTCCCGAGGCAGCAAGAGGAAGGTTGTGGGCCTTAACATGCATGGGAAACTATAGATGTTTATATACAAATGCTAGAAGTGTCTGAGGTAAAATCGGGGAGCTGGAATGCTTGGTGTTGGGGGGGAAAATAGACATTGTGGGTGTGATGACCCCTTATTTGGGGAGGTCTGGTTTCCCTTTAAAAGTGTTCTTTATGTTTTTCTCTACTGGGTAATCCGGCTGCCACCAGGAAATTTATAAGGCTTTCCAAACCTTTATAATATAATATCTATCAATGGGTAGGTATACCGAGGGTCTAGGCTTTCGTTAAGGTCTATGTGGTCTGAGGAATATTCTTTCCAGAGCTGGTATACTTGAATGAAATAAAATTTATTTAAATAAAGCGTAAAAACGAGGGTAGAACATGTAAACAATACTGGGAATGATTTGAACCATTGCTTGGTGTCTCTCACAAGCTTCTCCTTTACTGACAGAGAGGTTTCAAGCAACTTTGTAAGTTCACTGTTTCTCTCCGTCAGACCTCAGAATCAACTCCTTATCAACTGTCTTATTCAACTCTAAGACATAGAACTTAACAACCCACACAGGGATAAGTCTCCTTCTCTCTCATACATAGCTTAACTCTCCTCTGCTTCTCTCACAGAAATCCGAACTAAAACTGCTTAACTGAACATCAACTGTCTTTCTCAACAGTCATCTCACTAACTGACACTCTTGACTGACATATCTGCTCATCCACACAGAATCATTTCCAAAACCCCTCCCCCTCTCTGTCACACCAATCACACCACTTGTCTGTTTCAATCACACTAGACTTTCACACAGCTATGCATCCAAACTTTTAAAGACACACACACAGAGTTAAACATGAAATCGTTACAGTGGGTATTTCAGAAACTTGGTGGCATGAAGAAAATCAGTGGGATACGGTGATTCCTGGTTATAAATTATATCGGAAGGATGGGGGAAAGGGTTGGATGTTGGGTGGCTCTGTATGTCAGACAGGGTATACAGTCCAGTAAAATTGAGAGGGTAAGAGAATTGGATTTGCTTCTGGAATTGCTATGGGTTGAAATAGTGGGCCCAAAAGGAAGCTTAACACTGGGAGTTTGTTATCGCCCACCAGATCAAAAGATAGAGGAGGATTATAAAATGAGGAATGAATTAAAGATAGCAGCTAGATGAAATAACTGTGTTGTAATAGGTGATTTAAACTACCCACACATTGATTGGGTCAATATGTGTTCAAGTTGGGAAAAAGAGACTGATTTTCTAGACACTCAGTGACTATGCAATGGAACAGATGGTCACAGAACCTACCAGGGGAGAGGCGATCCTCAATTTGGTCCTAAGTAACGACCAAGACCTGGTGAGAGATGTAAAAGTGATTGCACCGTTTGGGAGCAGTGACCATAATGTTATTGAGTTTAACATTTGTATAAATAGGGAGTTACTCAAAAAGACTGACACAACCACTTTTAACTTTAAAAGGGGTAAATTTTCTGATATGAGGGGACATGTGAGGAAGAAACTGAAAGGAAAAGTAGAAAGGGTCAAAACTACTGGGGAAGCATGGAGACTATTTAAAACTACAGTCCTAGAACCTCAGAAAAAATATATACCACAGGTTAGGAAAGGCACAAATAGGTATAGAAAAAAGCCTGCATGGTTAACAAACAAAGTAATGGAAGCAGGTAAGAAGGATTCCTTTAAGTGATGGAAAGCTAGTCTCAGTGAGGTTGATAAAAGGCTATGGCAAAAAAAATGCAAGTCTGTGATCAGGCAGGCAAAAAGGGAATATGAGGAGCATATAGCAAAAAACATAAGGACCAGCAATAGAACTTTCTTCAAATACATTAGAAGCAGGGAACCAGCCAGGGAGGCAGTGGGGCCCTTGGATGACCAAGGGGTTAGGGTTAGGATGTCCTATGACTGATAGACAACTTAAAAACTGATAAATCACCAGGCCCAGATGGCATACATCCAAGAGTTCTGAAAGAACTCAAATGTGAACTCATGGATCTCCTGACAAAAATATGTAATCTTTCATTAAAATCTGCCTCCATTCCTGAGGACTGGAAGGTAGCTAATGTCACTCCCATCTTTAAAAAGGGTTCCAGAGAAGATCCAGGAAATTACAGGCCAGTCAGTCTGACGTCGATACCGGGTAAGTTGGTGGAAACTGTTATTAAGGAAAGAATTAGTAGGCACATTGATGAACGAAACCTATTGAGGAAGACTCA